ATAAGTATTGTGTGTGATACAAAATGTGATACTCTTCATTCAGTATCAATAAGTATTGTGTGTGATACAAAATGTGATACTCTTCATTCAGTATCAATAAGTATTGTGTATGATACAAAATGTGATACTTTTTCATTCAGTATCAATAAGTATTGTGTGTGATACAAAATGTGATACTTTTCATTCAGTATCAATAAGTATTGTGTGTGATACAAAATGTGATACTTTTCATTCAGTATCAATAAGTATTGTGTGTGATACAAAATGTGATACTTCTCATTCAGTATCAATAAGTATTGTGTATGATACAAAATGTGATACTCTTCATTCAGTATCAATAAGTATTGTGTGTGATACAAAATGTGATACTTTTCATTCAGTATCAATAAGTATTGTGTACAAAATGTGATACATTCAGTATCAATAAGTGTGTGTGATACAAAATGTGATACTTTTATTCAGTATCAATAAGTATTGTGTGTGATACAAAATGTGATACTTCTCATTCAGTATCAATAAGTATTGTGTGTGATACAAAATGTGATACTCTTCATTCAGTATCAATAAGTATTGTGTGTGATACAAAATGTGATACTCTTCATTCAGTATCAATAAGTATTGTGTGTGATACAAAATGTGATACTCTTCATTCAGTATCAATAAGTATTGTGTATGATACAAAATGTGATACTCTTTTAATTCAGTATCAAAGTAGTATTGTGTGTGATACAAAATGTGATACTCTTTTAATTCAGTATCAATAAGTATTGTGTGTGATACAAAATGTGATACTTTCTTTATCAGTATCAATAAGTATTGTGTATGATACAAAATGTGATACTCTCATTCAGTATCAATAAGTATTGTGTATGATACAAAATGTGATACTCTTCTCTTTAATCAGTATCATCAATAAGTATTGTGTGTGATACAAAATGTGATACTCTTCACTCAGTATCAATAAGTATTGTGTGTGATACAAAATGTGATACTCTTCACTTCAGTATCAATAAGTATTGTGTGTGATACAAAATGTGATACTCTTCACTCAACAGTATCAAAGAAGTATTGTGTGTGATACAAAATGTGATACTCTTCATTCAGTATCAATAAGTATTGTGTGTGATACAAAATGTGATACTTTTATTCAGTTCATGATCATAGCATAAGTATTGTGTGTGATATCAACTGTCAAAACGATATCTCCTTTAATATCAATCAATTCAAGTATTGGAACACAGTGATACAAAAAAATGTGATACTCTTCACTCAGTATAATCAAGAAGTATTGTGTGTGATAGAAAATGTAATACTTTTCATTCAGTCTCAATAAGTATTGTGTGTGATACAAAATGTGATACTTTTCATTCAGTCTCAATAAGTATTGTGTGTGATACAAAATGTGACACTCTTCACTCAGTATCAATAAGTATCATTTCATTATTGAAATATGTATATCTTTTATATATGTAGACATCAGATTGTTTTCAAAGAGTCTTATTTGGCATTCTGACTTATTTATTTGTTATATAATTGACTGTCAGCATGGTAGCATAAACATTTGACGATCCTAAAATGCTAATGGAGGAAATTAAAGCGTGTTCACTCAATTTAAACAGAAATAGCAAACACTGATATTCAGATGATGAGTTACTTCCCTTAGGCACGCCAGGAAGCTGTAACTGGGGGTGTCAATCCTGGTTTGCCAGATTATGTTTTCATGTTTGTTGATTGAATGATTAAAACATATTTTATTCAATTAAGAAACGGATTGGGCACAAGTTATCCAACTTAAATAAGCCCTCTCCACATAGTTACAAGTGTATATTACAAAAAAGTTCAACAAGAGGCAGACAAAGGGTATAAATATGTACAGACAGAGTTATTTAAATCGTTTAGTGTTATGGATGTAGATATGTACAGATTTAAAAACATTTCATGTTTGTTGGCAACATACTGGCGCTGGTGGGCTTCACAGAATACCTGGAGGAAGGTGGGTTCTCCACCCACATCAAGCTGAGATCCTGTGATGTAACACGAAAACTGTTTAAGGCAATGCGAAAAACTCCAACTCATGGACTAATTCATGTATCAGAACACATTGGTAGATGTAGCTGTGTTTTCACTCATTATCTAAATAAAAAAATAAAATAAATTTAAGTCATTATATTTGTACCAGTTTTAATTGTAAAAGCAACACTGACTGATCAACCAACACTGATCTCTTTACTGATTGTGAGAAAATCTCAGTGGCAGGTTACGTACATGATGAGCAGTGGTTGTCAGTGCCGATTAAAATTGGCAGGATTTCAGCTGAAGTAACACTGCCTGCCTGACTCACTCACTCACTCACTCACTCACTCACCTGCCTGCTCACTCACTCACTCACCACTCACTCACTCACTCACTCACTCACTCACTCACTCACCCACTCACTCACTCACTCACTCACTCACTCACTCACTCACTCACAGTACACCTGTGATGTTGATACCTGCAGCATCAGTCAAAGTAAACATGCAGCTTTATTCCAAGAAATGTTTCTCAGTCAATTAATAATCACGAAATAGCTTGAATATCTTGAATAACAGCTTACATAACTGTATACTGTTCAGTGAGGTTGGTTTCCTAGGCGATTGAACCCATGCTTCCTCTCTGCGAGCATGATCATCGCCACCTCGTTGTTTGTCAGTCATGTACTAGTTTCCAAGCAACTAGTCTGTTTCTGTACAGGTTGGCTATGGTACATGGTATATCATGCTTGCACAATAACATGCTATATCCTCTTGAAAAATGGGAGTGTATACTGTCATAATGTCAGTGTGATGCGTTTACTGTATATAGTCTTTGCTGTTTGGAAAGTACTACAATGTATATGTATTAATTGAATCCTGACCTCTGTTTTTGTCTGCTTTCTTGTCATTATTTGTGCACAGCATGAAAACGAACAAGTATGCTATCAGTTATTAGAGTTGTCATAACAGAAGGACTCACAGCAGTTTCTCATCTGTCTGAAGAACACTATCTTAGATTGGGCTTGACAATTTCCATCTTGGTAAATATCTGATACCGGGCATTGAAATGTTTTCATCCAAGTATTACTTGTCTCCTGTTTCTAGCTATGATTGGGATTTCAGGCATGTGAGGTAATCCACCACTGAATGTGGCTTGTGCTGGAAACATTGGCCCACATTGAAAGAAGGTTGTAGGCTGAATTCCTTATTTCCCAAGAATAACTTTATTAAAAATTACTGGTATGTTTTAGCACAAAATGATGATTCTAAGACGTCAGCACTGAAGTACAGTTACCTCTTTGTGTCTATTTTAGTTCTGTGTCATAATGGAAATAACAGGGAGCAGGTAAATATGAAGGCATTTTTTTTACAGGTTTGATGCTGAATATGAAATATTTTCTTAAGAGTTAAGTTTGAGTTACCTTTGAAACAATTGATGGTAGTTTATTTTGCTTGTTTGTTGTTGTTTTATCTGGTCAAAGAGAAACATCAGTTGAAAGGTTTGTGATATTTCAGAAGACTCCATGGTAGATATCATTTTCACTATTAGCGTATACAGCAGGTTGGTGGACTGATTTACCCCACACAGCAACACGTGTTTCAGCCAGCAGCTGTTTGTTTGAATGCGGTATGAATCAGAAGCATGTTATCATTAGATTGATAGTACCCAGACACAACTTTCTGTTTTGTGTGAAAAGCTTGTGTTTATTTTGTCATTTTGACTACCTGATAGGTGTTCAGTGAAGATAAGAAGACTATGTTGAAAGACGGCACCATACGGCTATACTTAAGTACTTACCTAATTTGACAATAAGTGTGATTTGGAAACCATGAGCTTAGCTTGAAGAATCTAGCAGCTGTCAGTATCTAAATGCTCTGCCATGTCACATAAGCATTAGCAACTAACTAAATATGTTATAATGCTCTCAACACTGCTCACTATCAGCCCACTACAATCAGTAACATGTGTTGACTCAAGCAAAGTAATTTGTTTATGTTTCAACCCATAGTCTTTCCTACCCATGATCAAAATAGTGATAGGAGTTTCTGGGTCAGAAGCATCCAGTACACTATGCTTGTCATTATTTTAAGAGGTTCTTACAAACTTTGATAAAGACATGTTTTACACAACTGTGGTCTGTGTGGTCTTGCAGTATGGTTCTACCTCAGTGAAAACTTTGAGGTGAAGGTCATGTTGCATTCAGTTAGGGTGAAGGTCATGTTACATTTAATCAGGGTGAAGGTCATGTTACATTAAATCAGGGTGAAGGTCATGTTACATTAAATCAGGGTGAAGGTCGTGTTACATTAAATCAGGGTGAAGGTCGTGTTACATTAAATCAGGGTGAAGGTCATGTTACATTAAATGAGGGTGAAGGTCATGTTACATTAAATCAGGGTGAAGGTCATGTTACATTAAATCAGGGTGAAGGTCGTGTTGCATTGAGTCACTTGAAGGTCAGTGTTATGATAAGCCTGTGTCCATTTTAATGAACTTGGTTTGTGAATCTTGACATTGAAATACATCAGTCATGTTTTCAGATAACGTTCTGCTTACAGATATTGGTAAAGAATGGATGTCAAACCACTTTGGTAAAAACTAAATTGGGTGTACAATCTACTTTTCTTAGTAATAATCCTCTTCATAGAGGCTTGCTGTGAATGAGCTGCAACATTCTGGCATGATGAAACAATATAAGCTCACTCACCAACTATATGATTAACAATGAACAAAGAATGTTTCTATAAGATGTAGCTTGTCCTAACTGTAGTGTTACAGCTGTTTCACACATGTTACATGTAACTTGTTCTAACTGTTCTGTTGCTGGTGTTGCATACATGTTACATGTAACTATTTCACATGTCTAAACGGTTGTGTTACAAGTATTTCACATGTTACATGTCTCATATCTTAACTGTTGTGTTGCTGGTGTTTCATTCATGTTACATGTAACTTGTCCTAACTGTTGTGTTCTGGTGTTTCAGATGAGTTGATTGCAACCAGGTGAGAATGGGGAGAGAGCAGGGAGGAGGGTGATTGAGGGAGTTGCTGATCACTGCCGCTGCACATGATGCCACGCATACTCTTCCTGCTATTCAGCTTGTCTGTAATGACCATGATGTTTGTAGCCAAGTTTGGTTTGGACAGCCACTTCCAGCAAGCCACCCAAGGCATGCCCAACATCCGCGACCACACCGCAGAGAGTCGCATGGTGCGAGATATGCTGAGGGACAGAGAACTCCGACACAATCGAGAAGTAACCATCCTCAGAGACCGTATCGGCAGCTTGGAAAATGAGCTGAAGTCTGCCCAGGAACGAGTTCATAACCTCACTCAAATCGCAGCTGCCCGTCCAACTGTAGCCGAGATTACATCCAAGGAGATCTTGGAGGGCAAAACCATTGTAATACAGAACAAGACAGAGGACTTCATCAGGTACTTCCAGGAGAAGGTGAAGGCTGCCGAGATCCATCAAGGAGTTGCCTTGAAGACTGAGTATGATATTGTTGCATTTGATCGGTTTACTCTCAACAGGGTGTACATGCATGAACCTGGCCTGGGAAAACGTGTCATAGAAAAACCCATTGGGTATAAGAAGCGAGATCTGTTTGAAATGGTTGCCTTTGGAGTTGATCAGCTGAATGTGAATAGATCTGAAAATGCCAAGCCATATACTTTTGAAGACTTCTTAGAAGGTGTGTTCAGGACTGAACCGACCTCAGGGTCACACTATGAATTGTATTTCCGAAATAAGGACACCAACAGTCCCTACTCGTATGTCAAGCTGGTGATGATGAGGCCGTTTGGTCCTCCCATGCAGATCAGGAACAACACCATGTCCACCAGCCAGGAGTGGGTCAACCTCATCCTGCCCCTCTCCGGCCGGGTGGAGACCTTCCGGCTGTTCATGGATCGTTTCATCAGTACCTGCATAAAGCAGGATAAGAGAGTGTATTTGACTGTGGTCTACTTCGGGAAGGAGGGACTACGGGAAGTGAAGAATATTATGTCTCAAATAGCTAAAGCTTACAAATTTAAACATTTGAAACTTGTAACTTTGAATGAGAAGTTTGCGCGAGGCCGTGGCCTACAAATTGGTGCCTTGAACTGGAAGAGTGGAGATACCTTACTGTTCCTTTGTGATGTGGACATTGTATTTAATAATGAATTTCTTGAGAGATGCCGACTCAATGCAGAGCGTGGAAAACGGGTATATTATCCTATAGTGTTTAGTCTATATAATCCAAATGTTGTCTATGCACTACAAGACATGCAGATTCCATCCCTGAAGGACCAACTCATCATATCTAAAGACACAGGATTCTGGCGAGACTTTGGATACGGAATGACTTGCCAGTTCCGATCAGACTTCTTGAAAATCAAAGGTTTTGATGAGCAGATTACTGGTTGGGGTGGGGAAGATGTGTTTCTCTATCAGAAATATGTGAGGAGTGAGTACATGGTGATCCGAGCCACTGACCCCGGCATCTTCCATCTGTGGCACGAGAAAGTGTGTGATCCCAACCTCAGCTCTGAACAGTACAAAAGTTGCATACGTTCCAAGGCTTTGAATGAAGCCTCCCACTCACAGTTAGGGCTCCTTGCTTTCAAGGATGAGATGGATGTTCATAAAGGTTTTGAGAATTCCAAAAAGAAACAAGTATTATAACATTGGGGTAATATTGACAAGATGTTCTATTTTAGCTGGACAGAATCTGTAATTGCACTGTATATGTGTCTAATGACTTGAAATCCATTCAGTTCCACTCAATGACCCTGGGATAGTAGTATTGAAAATTCCTGTTTGCGTAGGACAGAAGTCTGATAAAGGATTTGAGTCTTTTTCATTTGTATACTATTTTCATGCATCATTTTCTTTCTGAAATGGTTTTATTGGTAGACTATACTCTATGGCCAGGCAATATCATTAGCAAGCATCTATAACTGACAACATTTCTCTCCTGTAGCCTGAGACAGATTTTTATAAATTGAGGATCTCTAGACTTGCCGAAGAATGAAGTGTTTGAGGTATTTATATCTCATTAGCTAGGACTGTCAATTGCCCTGAGCTTCTTCTTTTAGGGTGGGGGACCTAGTTCACTTGTCATCGAGATTACCCAGTTCCGATTACCCTCATGGCCACTAAATGTTGAGCCCATTTCTGGTGTACTCCCTTTATATTGCTGGTTATATTGCTACAAGCAGAGGCTTTTCACTTTTATGAATATTTAGTCCCTGAAATGAAAATATATTCTAATTAGCTGTTAAACTGTCCCTCAGTATACAATGAGAAGGAGTCCAAAGGATCTCTTAATTTTTAGAAACTGAAGAACTCTCGAGTTGGCAAAGTATTAAGAAGTGCGTGGAAGTATTCGGATTGTTTTGTTTCATTTTCTGTTTGAGGGACTGATAGAGGTCAATATTCTGTACAAACATTTAATAAGTGAGGAGATTTTCGCTATTCATATCCCAGCATTGTGGTTGAACTGTGTGGATTCTGTAGACAAGGTTTGCCTGCGGGATGATTGGCCTCCCATGTGATACAGTCTGTTCAGTGCTGTGTTTATAAACACGTTATTCACTTTGGTAAGGAACAAAGTCTAGCAGTATTTGCATTCCCCCGGACAGGTTATATATAGTTTGTAATGGTATATACAGACAACACAAACATACTTCCAGCAAATAAACCATGTTGTCTCGTGACAGCTTCACATCAGGAGTATCTTCAAAGACATTAACAAATCTATAAAACATACCACACACCAGTCTATTTGAATTTCTTCTTAAAAGGAGTCTTTATTTAAACAAGTCAAGCATGTTATGGCTGGTCTCCAAGACATTATGTTTATTTCTTTACCCTTCAAGAGTTATATCAAAGGGAGACCATGCTGCTTAGTAACTGACAGATTGCTGGTTGCCATGGAAACATGACCAGTAAACACAACAGATTCAGTGCACCTGTGTTCTTTCAGAGAGATGTTTAGTTCAGTTACACACAGTGCCGACCAACTGTAGAGTCTGGTTAAAAAAATTTGTCATGGCTACACATGTAATGATTGCTTTCAGGAAGTATTAGCAATTATTTGGTCTGGCTTTTATTTGTATTATTTTCAGTATGTTATTCAAAGTGCAAAGTTTAACTGTAAGGAGTCCATTGTAAACTAAATCCAACACATTTGTCGAGAGTCAGTAAATCATCCATGGGACCATACATGCTGATCACAGACGGCAAGGTGTTGGGGATAGACTGGTGGCTCCTTACAGAGTCTAATTAATGCAGTGTGCTTGATCATAAGTCAAACATGGCAGCTGACTTGAACCATCTTGTTTTTAGTTAAAAGTTTATGATGTTTTAAGTGGCACTGCTACAGGGTAAGATTACATAATACCGGATACCTTCCACCAGAAAACATGCGAGTTTACTTTAGGTGAGGGTTAGGGTTAGGGTTAGGGTGATTTGACACTAAACAATATGGCTGGTAGGTATCCGGTATTCTGTAGGTGTACCCTGCTACAGATTGCTAAGTGTAATGTTACTGGAAGGGAACTTCAGTTTGTTTGTGTTACCAGTTTGTGTTTATCCATCAAACTGTCAGTGTCTGTTCTACAAACTTATTGATCCAGTAATCCTGTTACCTTGAACGTCATGTTCTACCTGCTACACAGAGAGCATTCCGTCTATCAGGGACATCATCATGCAGATCCTTCCTTTCTGGTAAACTGTTGGTGGGATCACTACAATATGGTTTTCTCAAAACTTTATGAATATCCACATATCTGTTGATTAGTTTTCATACTGATGTCATGTTCCAGTGCTAACATTTCCAGAAGACAGGAAATTTCATCATCAAATGCTCTTTACGAAAACTCAGCTGTGCATCAGTGGTGAGCAGGTGGGCCAGTAGCGAAAGAGAACCTTGGTTGTCAGTTGGAAGAATAGTTGTCATTGGATTGGAACTGAAGCAATTGTCAGAGTATTAACAGTGTATGAAATAAGGCCCGTCCGACCGCCCAAGACGGTCTAGATTTCTGACGGACGGATTAAATTTACAGCTGGCCAGACCGATGGTCTGGTAAAATTTTTAAATTCACCACATTTGGTCTGGTTATATCCATTTTGGGCTGGTAACATTTTGAAGTTACCAGCCCTGATGTCTGGCTGGGGTTTTGGCTTATTTCATACACTGGTATTAGGGGATCAGAGTATATGTTCCTCTGTCTTTACCATTGCATACCACAGTTCTCTACCAGACACTCACAGCTTCTTGTTCCAGTGGCCTCAGACCATGTAATAGTCTGTCTCACAGTCCCTGAACCACATTATTTTCCCTACTGCCCTCCCTGCAATGATAAAGCCCTAAATAAAGCAAGTCTAGATTTCTCAGAATCTGAATTTCCCATGTCACTGGGGCTCCTTTTCAATTTCAATGGGTTTATTTGTTACTTTCAAGTGTATATATATTCAGAGTCTAAGAGGTAGTCTAGCCCTGTAGCTGTGCAGAGTTAAGTCCCTTAGTTGTGTCTGGATCAGCTGGTCTTGGTTCAAACCCCAGTCTTGTCCTAGTTTTGTTATCACAAATGCTGTAAATGCCACCGAAGTAGTACACATGACTCTGGGCATGTAACTGTAGGTTTGTCTATGCAGAAGGCCAGTTCCTGTTTGCTTGATGTTGGGGTATGACTGCCTGATGTATTGATGTACCAGTGAAAGGCATGGTTCACAACTGGGGTATGCAACGTGTAGAGATGGTGTAGGGTAAGATGGTCAACCACCAGAGAAGATCTGGCTTGGTCAGCATCCTTATCTGTATATTTTGCAATCCAGCTGTGGTGTCTCTGATCCATTCTGTAATTGTATTGCAGAATTCACTCACTCACTCTAAAGCCAGGCACTCAACATAAAGCAATAGTATTCTTCTACAATTAATGCTAAGGTATGATATACCACTCAAAAGAAGATTAAGGACATTGATTCTTTGAAATTACTTTACCTAATACCATTACAGAATAACTGGATCAATATGGACAAACAAAACAGGTGTTCCTTAATGTCTTTTGAGCAGTATATTTCATGAATTGTTGTATTAACATTGATATGTTTAAATTACCTTAACCTAAGGAAGTGTGTCGACGCTAGTCAACCCTAGTCAACCATATATATTTCTGTATATCTTTTAACTCTCTAGTCATGAGTCATGGAGTCATCCACGGTGCTACAGCCATTATGTTGTCATGTTTCCTTTATTCACAAGCTGCATTTTTTCGCAAGTATTGATTAAAACACTCATTAATTTATTCATCGTTTTTTCAGATTGTATCATTTGTTATCAATCATAAAGAAAAAAAGAATGTTATTTTTATTTTATTTTTGAATTCCAGTATAACACATGTGCCAATGTTTACATTTTCAGTATAAGTCACACACCTGTATATATAGCATTTTGAGACACACCTTGCCAGGTATTGTGTCACAGTACGCAGCCAGTGTCGTAGTTTGTCAGTATTGCAGATGTAGATGTTTACATGTTCTTCAACAACAGACTTGAACACTGAAGCAAAACATTTCGAGGTGCCTCAGGCTTGAATCAGTCATTAAGTTGATTACAAAATGGTTTCTCATCAATTGTATTTTCAAAATAACCTTGTTACCAGGCATTTTATTTTGTTTTCTCTTGTTTGTCAAATAACTGTGGCAAGGAAAGATAACCCCTCTGGTAAAATCTTAACTAATATTAAAGGTGTTTTACTGGACAAGTTGAAATATGATTCACCAAATGAAAGCTATTCATACTGCTCTTTTAAAGGAATCAATGATGAGAAACAGTTTTTAGAACTTGAGATGGGATCAGCATAGTTGATATTAATACTTGAAATATATTGTATTATTTTACATTTGACCGATATAAAGTTTACAGTTTATATATGCTATAGAATGTACATTTAGTTCAGTCCCTTGTTGGTTATGGGCAATTTGGTTTACAATGTCTTGAAGATGTTTACTATGATACAGTGTGCGAAATAGTTTCCAAATTTTGCTAGTCACAAAATAATTCACTAGACTGAAATTTGAATATAGACACGTGTTTCATCATTAAGCTGCTAATATGATGAGCATTTTCTCAGGCCAAAATCTTGCATGATTCAAAAGTGTGTTATTTATAACTTATCAAGTCGGAGAGAGTGATATATTTACAAACTGACCTCATGAACACTCACTAGCCCGGTGGGCCAGTGACTGTGGAGATATGCTGGCCCGATTGGATATTTACTAGCCACAGGCTAGTGGGCCAGTGGCTATTTCGCACACTGCTACGATATGATCCCTATCTGTGCGATGATCTGACGGCACTGTCTCAAGAGGTCAGGTGAACCTTGACCTTAATTTAAACTAGTTTATACGAAGGACACATGAGTTCTCAACCAATCAGATATGAGCTTTATTTTGTTTTACCAGCTTGCCTTCTGATTTGTGCAAATTAACATCAACACAAATATTCATATACAATTCCTGTTTTGGTGCAGATGCACTCAGATACAAAGTATTGTAATGCGTAAGTATCAATGGAATGTATAACACAACAAAACAATTACACCTCGATTGATTGGCTGATTAGAAACCCCACCTGACTTCCTATACAGGTGTTTGATCTTCATGAGAGGATAGGGGCGGTGGGGTAGTCTAGTGGTTAAAGCGTTGGCTCGTCACGCCGAAGACCTGGGTTCGAATCCCCACATGGGTACAATGAGTGAAGCCCATTTCTGGTTTCCCCCGCCATGATATTGCTGGAATATTGCTAAAAGCAACGTAAAACCAAACTCAGTCAGTCAGTCATGAGAGGATATTGTACTGGAGTAAGAGGTCTGAGTTTATGTAGATTTTTTGGTTTTGCTCTTTTTAGTAAACAATGAGAGTGTCTCATCACATTTGTCTCCCTTGTTTTATAACCTTGACCTCAGATATGTATGGTATTATTGGTTACATCTGCTGTAATCAAACATTGTATTGGTTAGTTTATGTTACAATGTACAGTGGTATACTGGTATATTTATAGGTGTCAATATGACAACAACTTTTAAAGCAGTTTAATGCCATTACCCCAGAGAGATCAGATATGACCAATGAGTAATTTCTTATGAGGGCAAAGATCCAAATGTATTATAAGAACATGCTGTAAACTTTCTTCTCAGACTTTGAGTTATTTGTATGTTCACTGTAAATAGCCTGAATGTGTAGATGTAGGTCCAGCTTTAACATGTATACACCTGGAAATGGTCAACACAGCTTACTATTTACAGATAAAGTATTTTTACAAATGTACCATGTATTATTTTTTTTTACAAAACACATATTGTTTTTTGGAGTGAAATATATTTAAGTACAGAAATGAAATTAACTGTTCAGGGCCATCAACTACCTGTCCTTGACAACAGATGCTTCCTTCTAGTCTTTGCAGTGTGTTAAAAACTTGGTACTCGTGACCACTTGGAGAAATCTCACCTGAGTGTCTGTTTACAAACAAAACATCACCCCAGGTGAATACAAGTGTAAATCTCTGAGATTTGTTGATATATTTGATATCAGAGGATATTTGGGTGCGATTACTTTTAATCTTTCTTCCACATTTTTCTTTTTGTAAGCGGTAATAAGTATTGCGCTGTGTGCAAGAAACAGTTTACAGTACTTTGATTGTGATACCATGGTAAACAATGACATCACAATAGTCTACAAAACAAACATAATGATACAATTACATTGCATTGACATCTTCTAGATAACCTAATCTCATCCAGGGGATGTATCCAGTGGAGGCACGTTTTGGATGATAAAGTGTACTTTCTATACCCACTTTCACAGGTATCCATGGTATCTGAGACAATATAAGATCAGTATTGTATGTACAGGTAGATCTTTCTGAAGATAATAAGTTTCAGATAATCCCTCAGTAAGACAAAAGAGCATTGTGCTGCCCATTTGTTTCCCAGGTGTATATATACCATGCCTGTATATATGTAGTATGTACAGTTGTAGGCCTAGCCAGAGTCCATGAGGTGATGACTCTTGCAACACAATACCTCAGTAATCCACGAAGACAATCCTCATCATCAGTGACCCCTGCAAACAGGGCACAGTGGGCCACGACACAACAAGAGTTGGAGGTTTTATGAGTGCTTCCAGCATTGCTGATTTCTCAACGTGCCATCACGTATTTGGTTTATGTTGTATATCTGAAATATGACAGTTATTATTACCAAGTAGACAATGATTTTTGTAGACTGCCATAGCCCTTATAAGAGACTGTGGAATGGGGAGGGTTAATCTCAGTTTACGACCATCATTGTGCTCGCTCTATCAAATGCGAGTGTTTAGGACTCATGATACACATTGCTCTATGATTGCTTTATAATGATCTGCAAATCTTTTAAATACAATTTCTTTCTGAACCTGATGCACTATTTTTGTAGAATTTAATATTTGAATGTTTCAACACACAGTAAACATCTTTAAAGAAAAATATTTCATTACTGTAGCGACAGGAGTCAGTGTTGAACCCTCCCTCAAACCTAGGAATGGGTGTTGCCCCATGGAGGGTTGAACTAGTAGTCCGTATTTGTCATGAGATGTGATCCCTTCCTGACACAGTTGAAGGGTGCCATTTCAGAGTTTTACAATGTCTATTATTTCAAGTATTTGCTGTGCATCTACACGCATTTGTTCTCCTTTGATGGTGTTTGGGAATGGAATCCTCTTTAGAATATTTTTTCCAGAGTAATAATGATGCAATTACAAAAAACAAGGAATTTCTTCATGACCAGGAGTATGTAAAAGACTCACCCTGTCAAACATTTGACAGCCATGGCACTGCAGGAAGAGTGTACTCCGAGCAAGTGAGGTGGCAGGTATATAGATTTAGCACTACTGTATTTTGGTCTGGAATTCTATTTGCTGTTGAAAATTAATTTACCAGATTGACGGATTTGAATTATCATTGACATATTTTTCATCATATTTATTGTCTTACATATCTCTCCTAAATTATGCCTTCAGATTTGATCATTACAATGAATAAACATAGCTTTCACTTACTTGTGGTGTTAGATTGGTGTTTGCAGTGATCTTAGATCTGTCACTCACTTAACCCTGACTGAGAGAGGGAGTGAAGATGCAAGTGAGTATTGGTCACAGAGGTTACAAAGATTACTTCCTCACTTGGGCCAGACTGTGAACTCTAGTCTTGGGACAACAGCCACCAAGTTACTGGGAGGGCCCAGAAATCCCTGCATGGTCTCGCTCCTGAGTTCGACCTTCAAAATTAGGTGAAAATAATCAAGTGTGGACCAGTCAATTCCCTGATCAATAGTATGAGCATTGAGCTAAACCTTTGGTGTACGTTTCAACCAAGGTATGAGCCTGACAATTCGATCCTGTTAGTCGCCTGTTAATGCAAGCATTGGTTGCTGAAGACCAGGTGCTGTTGTACAAAGCTATCTTAGCGTTAAGGTGACTGTAGCTCCCATACCAGGGCCACTGATGCAGAATGAAACTGTTTTCTAAATAATCAAATAGCTCATATATCCCGTTGTAGAAGGATATATGATACACCAAGCACTCAATATATCAATTGTAAGATTATAAGTTTTAAAATTTTATGGGAGAGGCATTTCATTTTTAATATCTAATTTTTTTACATAAACAGTTTAAGGCATAAGTGTGTATAATAATTTGTACAGTTTGAGCATAAGCACCTGGCTAGCTATTCTCGAAACGTTCGTAGCCCTACGAACTTCTTAAGCCCATTCTTAACACATTGGCTACGATCAAAGTTAAGTATTCTTAGGGCTACGAACGTTTCGAGAATAAGGGCTCTGGTGTCTAATGGTGGTTAAAGAGCACAGCAATTCTAATCATTTCAATGAACTGACACCAGGGTCTGTATGCTCAAACCTATTTCATAGACGTAAGGTAGTCTTAGCACTGAGGTTGTTTTGTGCAACAACACCCAGTCCTAACCCAGATCTTCACAGGTGTCTCAGTAAAGCAGTGGATAGAGTGTCTGACATAAGAGCAGATGCTGCTGGTTCGATGCCCTGGCTGCATCATATCAAACCATTATACATAAGAGGGTACTTGCTCAGCTGAAGGGGATAAAACAAGGACCTTGTGGTGGTGACCTGTCCGAGTCTAAAACTGCAGTATGGTATCTCAGTGTGCTATTGGTATAACACCTGATCTGACCCTCTGTATTATGTGTGTAAGGTGACGTGTCTAGCAGGGAGATCTGACAGATCTAACACACAGGGTCAGATCTCCATGTTAGACAGGTGTCCAGATCACAGCAGTTCCCTCAACACAGATGTGTCTGCAGATCCAGCACCAACCTTAGCAGAAGGGCGAGATGCTCTACTGTAAACATGCCATGTCTTTAGAGACTGTTAGCACTGATTTGTATACAGCCCTTGTCTGAGCAACTCACATTAAAGCCTGACGCACCCCGCCTGTAGCTGACGGTTGTATATCCGTGCCACGAAGACTGTGCTTGACGGATGTCGGTTCTCACTCTTCACATACCTCCGTGGTCTGTGTGTCAGTCACAGGTGTAAGTTGTAGGAATGTACTGCGTAACCGGTAACAAGTTCACACGTGATCACCATTGTAGCTGAGTTGGTGAATACAGTCGGTCATATTCCTAGTCTGCCTCACAGTCCCTGAACCATATTATACTAGCCACATAAAGAAACTGTGCATTGTCAAAATATTATCCCAGTTGATAAGTACGATAACACTGTCAAAGGTACATATAAACTTTAACGGAGGGATCATGAGACCATAACAAGTCGGGAGAATTCCAATTGAAAAGTCAATCACAATGACGTCACGAGTCCACAAGCGGGACAGGGGTCAAACGACCATGTCACAAGCTCAATAACGGGTATGTCCACCATCGGCATTGAGAACAGCAGTGCATCGACGACGCATAGAGCCTATCAAACGTGCAAGGAAGGCTCGTTGGATGTCACGCCAGATTCTCTCAGGTTCTGTTGCAAGGTCAAGGACGTTATCTGGCGGATGAGGAAGACGGCGTAGACGTCGATCCATCTCGTCCCAAACATGCTCTATCGGGGAGAGATCCGGTGAATTTGCAGGCCAAGGCAGTAAGTCAACGTTGTGGTGTTGCAAGAAATCCATAGCAACCCTTGCCGTATGAGGGCGGGCATTGTCCTGTTGGAATGTTAACCCAGGGCCATGACGTTGCAGAAAAGGAATTGCTACAGGTCGAAGAATCTGATCCCTGTAGCCCACACCAGTTAAGTTGCCCTGAACAATCACCAAAGGAGTTCTGTGGCGTGCTGTTATTCCACCCCAAATCATCACGGAACCACCACCAAAGCGATTCCTCTCCAAGACACAGGCCTCTGTGCATAACGTTCTCCCACGCGTCTATAGGCACGTTGACGTCCATCACTATGGGAAATGTTAAACCTGGACTCATCTGTAAAAACAACATTTCTCCACCAAAACAAGGGTCTGCGGACAAGATTTCCGCACCACGAGCTTGTCGATGACGTTGTGTCAGGATAGGCCGTATGGCGGGACGTCGTGGTCTGATCCCGTGATGACGCAAACATTGTCGATAGGGCTTCCACGGGTACTCGAGTACTCGAGGACGAGTCAGGTTTAGCTGGACTCGAGTCCATTTTCTAGGACTCGAGGACTCGAAAAGGGGAGATAACTCGAATTATTGGATTACAATGACAGACTGTCTGTCTGCCATGTGATAAGCATGAGCGGCCGTTAACGTCTAATATTAAGATAAGATATAACTTTATTACCCTGGAGGAAATTCTTATACATCCAAACTGTCTCAAAATGAATATGTACACAATTAACAAATATATACACAATAATTACATGCACAAAACGAAAGCTATTTACACAATAAAACTGACATGATATAATTCAATTAACCACATAGGTAAAAAGGCTGAATAATTCTAGTTGTTATCACATGTTGATAATGCAAAATATTTGTTGCATTCACGAATACTTGATGGTATGAAAGACTGTCGAGCTCTGTTTGTTTTGAGGGAAGGTAATCGACAGCAGCGTCCAGAAAGAAGTACTTCAAAATGGTGAGATAAAATATGTTAACTATCAAATCTAATTTTCGTTGCCTTTTTGACAATCTGGCGCTCATAGATAAAGGGAATATACTCGAAGTTTTGTCGGCAGTATTAACAATTTTGAAAAGTTTGTTTTTGCTGCGATCAGACAGGCCCCATACCAACACAGAAAATTGTAGGTCAACACACTTTGAATAAAGGTTTGATAAAAACTGTCATTATGGTTTTGTCAATGACTTGACGATAATAAGGTTCAGAATCAGAAATTAGGCCAGTAACAGTGGCGTCGTCTGCGAATTTCACAGTAAACAAGTCATTTAATGACAAGTAACAGTCATTGGTATACAAAACGAAGAGTACGGATGAAAGAACACAGTCCTGTGGAGCTCCAGTAGAGGTTGAGAGTAAAGAAGATTGATAGCAATTGACACTGACATACTGAGTTCTATGTACCCTGAATTCTTTAACCCATCTAATAATGTTTTTATTAAGGCCTAGATTAAGTAGTTTACTCCTCATAAGGTGTGGCTGTATGGTATTAGTTGTTACAAGTCTGCAGATGAGAGTAATCATTATGTGATTTCACTTCTTAAAATGATTAGCTAACTATCTTAACAGACATGGAGAACGATAAAAAATCAAATGTATGGGCGTCTTGATCTGGATAGTGAAAAGAGAAAAATAACCAAATGCCGCCTTTGCGGTATATTACTGCGTTATGCAGGCAGTACAACCAGTACGATGAAAAAAAAACCCATTTGGCAAGTAAACATCCAAATACGGATTCTGACCAATAGGAAATGTTAGTCACACGACGATATGAAGTCGGAAAGAAGTAAGTGTTCACTTGTGTGCCGCTTACGCTATCGTTTGTTTGAAAGGTATGAAGTTCGAGTACTCGGGTCCGAGTCGAGTCTCACCCCTCGAGTACTCGAGTCCAAGAAAAAGGACTCGTTGAAGCCCTAGTTGTCGAACTGTGTTGGGGTGGATACGGCGAAGTCCTGGGATGGTTCGGGCAGTCATCACTGCAGTCTGAAACACGTGGACGTCCAGAACGTGGCCGATCGATGATGTCATTTGTGTGCTGGTAGCGTCTCACCAGTGCAGAAATGGTGTTCCGGTGGCAGTGGAAATGTGCAGCCACTTGTCGTTGAGACATTCCCCCACGGACCATCCCAATGGCCTCATGACGTTGTGCAGACGTGAGCCTTGGCATGCTATGCGTTTCAAGAGCCGTTAAATTTTTTGAACGATCGCAAGGGCAGGGGTTGAGCTTTCCCATAGTGACAGTATTGTGTGGCATTCATTTGCTCTGTTTCTCTTTCCCGGAATGCACGTGCAACAACGTATTGCACGTCTCAAGGACGAATCCACTGACGTCACGGAACGTGGCACGTGCATACATGTTGGATACATGTCACTAATCTCTGAGTTTAAATCCTTATGTGTCTACACAGGTTTTGATAAATTTAGATTTTAAATTTGTGTATGCACAGTTTCTTTATGTGCCTAGTATATTTTCCCTAATGCCTAGCCCATCCTGCAGTGCCCTAAATGAAGCAGGTCTAGATTTCCCAAGGTTCAGGTCTGAATCTCTGGTCTGCCTTGGGCTCCTTTTCAATTTAAATCTATTTATTTGTTACAATCAAAATTATATATTCAGAGCCTAAGCGTTAGTCTATCATATTCCGTACAAGTTGGACACAGATATTATGTACTAAGTAACTGTATTTTAAGTTTCAATTCATTGGAACCACAACGCAGTTAGGTCACATAAGTTTAGTTCTGATTTGATATACGTACACCAGCATTGAATTATCACCGCCTGAATAAAAGGGCAGTTTTTTAATTTTGGGCCAAACTGGTGTTCATACCCTAGAGTATTGGAATGCACATGCGAAACATAGGCGGATCCAGAGGGGGGGAGCAGGGGTGCGCACCCCCCCCCCCCCCTTCTCCTGAAA